CAGCCCAGGTGTTACGGCAAGACCCTGTCTCAAAAAACAAACAAGCAACAAACAAATGAAAACCCAATATGGTGTTATACCACCCCAATACTCAGAAGTCAGAAGCTTAAGGGTCGAGAGTTCAAGACCAGCCTGGGCTACCTAGGGAGACCTTGTCTCCAAACACAAAAGAATATTTTAATAAAATAATAATAAAGAGCTGTGGGTGGAGCTTACCATTCCATCCCAGTACCAAAGAAATGAGTTCCTAGCCCCACTGTTTATCAAAAAATACCTGTATCAAGAGTGTGGTGTTGAGTGGAATGCCCTCAGGAGGTGCTGGGCATTAAGTTCTTTCTAAGTGATTTAGCTGCGATCCCAGACCAAGCTCAAGCACACCGCATCTTCTCTAGGTTAACATCCCCGTGTCTGATGGTCAGTGACAAATTCCCTGACATGTCAAGTGAGGGAATGCTGGTCATGACGAAGAGAAAAGTCAGCCACTAGAAATGGCCTCAGAATCACTTCCATGACAAAACTCAGTTAAAAGCAAGGCTAAAATCATCATTGGAACTATGGTGGCCTGGGGACACGGCTCAGCCAGCAAAGTTCTTGCTTTGCTCCCCAGAACCCATATTAAACAAGCAAACAAACAAACCCAGGCTTGCTGGCACATGCTCGTAATTCTAATGCTGGGGAGAAGACAGGCTGATCTGTTGTGGACATCTCTGTGGGGCTCACTGGCCCGTGGTCTAGCTTAATGGGCAAGCTGCAGACCAGGGAGAAACTCCTAAGGAATGAAAGCTGAGATTTCTCTCCGGCTTCCACAAGCACATAAGCAGAACTGTGTGCATGCACACAAACACACACACATGTGCACACACGTGTGCAAACACACACACAAATATATACAGACACAATACAAAGCAGACTGTGCAATTGAGAAGCTGGAGGAGAGATAGGAACTTAGTGCAGCCACAGAGTTCACAGTCTCTCTCCACGTGAATGAGAGATACAAGGGCAGAGCCTGGGGGTGAGGCAGGCAACGAGACACCGCTGAAAGATTTCTGAATTGAAAGACACAGAAACAGGAACCATACAAGATGAAACAGCGAAAGGATTCAACAGAAACACAAATTCAGGCATCCTAACAAACTGTAAAAGACGGGGGTTGGGGCAGGGGTGAAAACCTCTGAAAAGACAACGGTTGAAAAAAAATTCCAAGTCGTATAAAAATGATAAACTTGTAGAACAAAGAAACCTAGTAAAACCCAAGAACAAGAATCGTGATGAGAAGCACTTGATAGCGCATCAAGATCAAATTGCTTAAAACCAGAGAAAAAGATGAGATCATTAAAAGCTGAGATAAGTGACTCATTTCGCATTAAGAAATGAATATAAGAGCAGCGCACAGCCACCGGAAACACTTGACGAACAGTGGGACTATGGGAAACCGTCCGCCTCTAAGTGAGTTGGTACTTCAGGGGCAGGCTGTGTAAAACACCTTCAAAGTGCCCTTTATTTAGTTTTGGCTAAACCTGTGTGCAATCTGAGCATACCCAGAGGCACTCCTGTCCACCGTTTTCACCTTTCGAACACACGTTCCCTACCCCAAAATGTGCCTGACACCTTCCAGTGATCACTTTCGGCTGAGCATATTCAGGAATGCATGGCTTAGGGCCACGTGTGATGCTGAAGGAATTCTCTGCTAGTATGTTAGCTTCCAGGTCTGTCACCGGAGTCCTCTGTGCAGAAGGAACTGGTACCAGGCAACATAACCCCAAAGTGGGACTTAATTGATAAACACAATGTGCTCTTTTTCTTTTATTCCCCCATTTACTTGTTATAAGTATGGACACACCTGCTATTCAGAAGACACCTTGGAAAATAAAATAAAATAAAATAAAAAGAAGATACCTTGGGGGAGTCAGTTCTCTCCTTCCACCATGGGCTCGGGGATCAAAAAGTGTCTTTACCCACTGAGCATCCCTGCTGCCCATAAACTATTTAAAAGAATTGTCTAAACCTAGTGTGGTGGTGAATGCCTGCAATCCCAGGATTTGGGAGGTGATGGAATCCTGAGGATCAAGAGTTCAAGGTCAAGTTGTGTGGTGGTGGCGCAGGCCTTTAATACCAGCACTTGGGAGGCAGAGGCAGGTGGACCTCTGGGAGTTTGAGGCCAGCCTGTTCCACTAAGTTAAGTTCCAGAACAGTCAGGACTGTTAGACAGAGAAACCCCGACTCAAAACATAGACAGTTCAAGACCATCCTCAGCTATAGAGCAAGTTTGAGGCTAGGCTGGACTACCTGAGACTGTGTATACAACACACTGAATAGTGTTTGACCAATGAAAGAAAACAGGCTAGGGATGTGGCTCAAATGGCAGAGGCTTACCTAGCATGCACAGAGCCCTGAGTTCTGTCCCCCACATCACGTAAAATCAGGAGTAGTGATCAAGCCTGTGATCCCAGCACTTGGGAAAAAGCAGGAAGATCAGAAGTTCAAGGCTAAGTAGTGAGTTTGAGATCAGCCTGGGCAACATGGGCCCCTGTTTCCAAAACGAAAAGAAAGAATTTAAATTATTTTCTTGTTACTTTTGTTTTGATTCTTTGAAATAGCATGTTTCTCTGCAGTTCAGGATATCTGGAACAGCAGTAACCCTACCTCGGCCTCCCAAGTGCTGGGGTTAGAGTAGTGTGGGCCACCACACCTAGCTAAGAAATTGCATTTTGGGAGCAAGATAGGAAAACAGCAAAGTTCAGGGGACGTGGGAAGGGAAAAAACACCTCACCTTTTAATCTGATTACATTTCCTGTAGGCACAGAGTCGGAGACCGCAGCACAGCTGACAAGCTCACCAAAGCAACTGAATCCTGCTTACCCAGGGCCGGAAGGCGACCTTCGGGCTCAACCTATCAACGCCCCTCTTTTATCCCTACACCCAAACAATGAGCCTTCTCAGCCACCTTACCATTCAGTCACCAGAGAAAATTCTTTAAGCAAACAGGTGAACCCTGATGGGTTTTTACTTAACTCATTTTTACTTAATCTTTAACTGTTACCTAATTTTTAAACTTTGCTTATCTTTTAACCTAGTTGTATATAATGTCTTTTGAGCAGTACAGCCCTAAGAACCACAAGTTCACATAGGTAGATATTAAGCCTCCCTGAGGTTTTTTACCACACTCATACTTGAAGCTAAAGCATGCACAATATCTTTCTCTACTTAATAAACTCTGTCTATCTATATCTATCTATCTATCTATCTATCTATCTATCTATCCATCTATCTATCTATCTATCTATCTCCTTTCCTTTCTTTCTTTGAGGCAAGATCTCATGTAGCCAAAGCTGGCCTCCACTCTACACTGCAGCAAAGACTTTGAACTTCTGATCCCCCTGCTTCACCTAAGTGCTGGAATTATTGGATCTAGTAGAACGACTGCCAAGTCTGAAATTCCTTAGTTGGGATATAAATGTTGTAAGTGTATTTTCACACACACACACACACACACACGCACCCACACATGTGCGCGTGCGCGCGGGAACTGGCTGCTTAAAGCAGACACAGCATATAGCCAGAGCCATGACATCCGGATCATGGGTGCTGGCAGAGGCGAGTGGCAATTGTCATAAAGTTCTATATTCCACAGGAAGTGTGTGTGACGCCACTGGAGGCGGACTGGGATGATACAGAGACTGATGCTAGAGTCTCTACAGCCACCACTCAATGAACCTTACAAGACATTATTCTAGAGAAGCAACAAAAGAAACCACCCAGATCACAGGACACAAATGTATAAGCTGAGCCTGATAAAGCTGCGGCACCTGCAGCAAAAAGCACAGGTTTACAGAAATGCAAAATGACCAAAGTGTTAATTCATGGTGTCCATTGTGCTTCAACAAAGTTGCTTCAAGTAAGTGAAGAATGAGCCGCCGAGAGCTGGGAACTCCGGTGCGGTCGGAACAGCTTCCCGTGTGACCTCTCAGTCCCTTGGGGACTTGATATCTCACTTCTTATCTGTCCTCTTTAGAATTAGCTATAGTCAATGATTTCTCTGGCCCATTAGTTCCCAAGGACATCGTCTTTGGCTGTACACAATGTCTCATTTCCTGCCTCACCGGAGTGATTTAGAGGTGTGTTCAGATGCTTGAGGCTACCAGAGCCACAGCGAACCCCACCATCCAGCCCAGAAGGCCAAGATGGACTGAGCAGGACCTGAACGTCACTGTGTTAAGCACTGATGCACTGGGATGACCCTGTTCCAGCAGTTAACTCACCCCACCCAGGCAAACAGTCCCTGGGAGCAGATGTGTTTGTGGCAAAGGTTTGGTGTTTTGTTTTGTTTTTAGTGTTGGAAAGTTATCCCCCAAAGTATCTTCCTGCTTCATGGCATTCATTGATGCATTCATTCATGGGATCGTTTTCACCCACCTGGGTGTAACTAAATTCACACGTTCAAGCTTCCACATGTAACTTCACAGCCTGGTTCCTCCTCGAGGTAATACCCAGATGTTTCTGAGTCCCAGCTGTTGGAAGCCATTGGCCCATACTCCTCAGTTCCAGCTCTGGAGAGCCATATGCTATGCAGGGTTTCCACCAAGCCTGGCCCCAAGGACCCATGTCACCAAGTCCTAAGCCCCAAACTGTCGTCATCAAATATGCGGTCCTGTCACACCATCTGATAGAGTCCAGAAGCAGAAACCAAATGCTAGTTTTGTAGAGGACACCAACCTGGGAAGGGGTGGGATTCTGGTCTCCTTGAGACAACCCTTTCCCCTCCTCCTTCACCTAGATAGGCTCACCCCTCACCCCCAACTCCCACCCCCCACCTGGACCTGCTTTTAGTCTGCCAAAAAACTCCTCTGAGGAGAAAGGGGGTGACTAAAGAGAAATGCAAGTTAATACGTTGGCAAAACCTCAGTGCACAACCGACAGTGTCTCCAGATCAGACACTAAGAACATGGGGAGAGGTCTGCCTTCTCCTGGACCCCAAATGCTGAGATGCAAAGACCACTCACCCCGCATCTCAAGAATCCTGGTTCGGCCAAAGCTGCACCGTGCTTCTTGTTCTAGTTCTCACGCTGACTTCGCTGGGGTGACAGAAGGGTCTCTCTGCGTTCTGTCTTATTTTCCCCCAAACAGTATCCTTCCCAAGGGTCTTTCGGCCTAACCTTTCACAAAACAGACAGACAGACAGAGAGAGATAGACAGATATTTTACAAAACATATATATATATATATACATATATATTTATATATGAAAAGACGCTTTAAAAAAAAAAAAACTAGTCAAGTTCAGCCATGAGAAGAGGGGAAAGTGCAGGAGTCCAACCTGCAACCAACTGTTAACAATTGAGAGATAACTCACAACCTTTTGACCAACCAAAAGCATACTTTTCTTTTCTCTACGACCCTGAGAAAGTTTCTCAGATTTCTCAGTTTCTGCCAACACACAAATTAGCATCATACCCAGTGACTTCCTTCTGGCCAGAGGCAGTGTGTGTCAGGAAGGACATTTAGATCTGAAGGAGGAGGCTGATCTCGGGTAACACTGACCTCTTCCTGGTCTGGGAACCCCAGTTCTTCTGACTGCTTTAATCAGAAGCAGTTGGCTTTGCTCAGAGCCTAAGCTGGCAGAGCAGCAGAAGGCCAAGCAGTAGGGCACATGCCTCGATCCCAGCACTTGATGCAATGATGATGCCAGTTCCATGCGGGTACATAGTCAGTTTGCCAGCCTCAGCTACAGCGTGAGACTTTGTATCAAAAATAAAACCAACAACAACAAAGAGAAAGCAAGAAAGGAAGTACCTGAGTCCCCGAAGAACTAGATACAAAATAATTCAAGGAAATTACAGCTTCCAAAGTACTTTAGCAGAGAGGTCGGCTGGCTGAACCACAGATGCAAGGATACTCATTTGCTATTAGAATCAGCAACGAGGAGCAAGAGACAGCTCTATGCAGCTGCCTGCAGCTGCCGGAGTTCTTTCAAAAATCTCTAATCAGGGGAAGCTGGGTTTTTTTTTTTTTTTTTTTTTTTTTGGTTTGTTTGTTTTCGTTTTTAAGACAAGGTCTGTCTACCTAGCCTCGGCTGCCCTGGCACTCACTACTTAGATCCAGCTGGTCTTGAACTCATGGAGATCCACCTGCCTCTCCTTTCAGGCACTGAGATCAGGATGTGCACCACCATACCCAGTGGAAGCTAGGATTCTTGACTGCACAACAGAAAATAATTTCAGAACAAGTCAGTATGAAGTAAAGCTGCAGTTTATTAAGTAAAAGGGGGAGGGGAGCTGGAGAGATGGCTGGGAGGTCGAGAGTACCTGCTGGTCTTGCAGAGGACCTGGGTCTGGTTCCCAGCACACACACCAGTAACTCCATTTCTAGGGGATCTGATACTCTCTTCTGCCCTTCAAGGGCACTCGCGTGTGTGTGACGCACACATGTGTATTCACGCCCACACATGTACACATAAAATTTTAAAATAATAAATTCTGTAAAGGCTTGTTTAATTTTCTCTTACATGTACAGGTATTTGAGTGCACATGTGTCTGTGAACCATGAACATATCATACTCATGGAGACCAGAAGAGGCCACTGGGTTCTCCTGGGACTGGAGTTACCCAAGGTTGCTGTCAAGTGGGTTCTGGGAATTGAATGTGGGTTCTCTGGAAGAGCAGCCACTAATTTTTTTTTTCTTCCTGAGACAGGGTTTCTCTGTGTAGCCCTAGCTGTCCTGGACTCACTCTATATAGACCAGTCTGGCCTCGAACTCAGAGATCTACCTCCCAAGTGCTGGGATTAAAGGCCTGTGCACCACCGCTGGTTACAGTCAGTGGTCTCAATAGCTGAGCTACCGCTCCAGCTCCCTTAAGATTAGTAAAGATTTAATCACAGAAATTAAAAGAGAGAGAGAGAAAGAAAAAGGAAAGGACATGGGTGAGGGGCATTCTCAAAAGAGAGAGTGCTGGCTGAAGATGGGGCTCAGTTGGCCAAGTGCTTACTAAGCACACACAAGACCTAAACTCAATCCCCAGAGCTGCATAAGCTAGGCGTGGTGGTGCAAAGCTCTGATCTCAGCACTCAGAAGGCAGAGGTAGGAAAATCAGAAGTTCAACATTACCTCTAGCTATATAGCAAGCTGAGACCAGCCTTAGTTACATGAGACCCTGTCTCAAAATCTAAAAGAGAGAGAGAGAGAGAGGGAGGGAGGGAGAAACAGCTTCAAGTGTCTTAACCTTACCATATATATGATTTTGGTTTTTGTTTTAATTCTTTTATACATTTATTTATTGTGTATGTCCCTGCACACATGTGTGCTTACTATTTATTTTGTGTGTGCATGCCTGAGCACTGGGGTCAGAGGACAAACCTTCTGTCATGCGGGTTACAGGTCTTCAGGCTTGGTGACAAGCACCTTGACTCACTAGGCCGCCCTGCCAGCCCTGGGTTTTTTGTTTTGGTTTTGTGTATGTGTGTGTACACGTACACATGTATGTCTGTGCACATATATGCAGAGGCCAGATGTTGATGTTGAGTGTCTTTCTCTATCACTCCCTTCTTTTTTGAGACAGAGCTTCTTTCTAAATCTGGAGGTTACCGGTTTAGCAAGAATGGCTGAGCCGTAGACCCCGTGGGTCCCTCTCACTGACTCCCAGGGTTAGGATTACATGTGCACACCACCGTGCCGAGCTTTCCACACTGGTGCTCAGAATCTCCGCTAAGGTCCCGATGCCTTGCACGGCAAGCACTCTACCAATGACTCATCTCCCCCGCCCTTGCTTTGGTTTGAGTCAGGATCTATCTAAGTTGGGGTTTTCTCTCACTGTGATGAAAACACCACGACAAAAAGCAACTTGAGGAGGAAATGTTTGTTTCAGATTATACATCCACATCAAAGTCTGTCATCGAAGAAAGTTAAAGCAAAACCTGGAAGCAGGAACTGGAGCAGAGGCCATGAAGGAGCACTGCCTACTGGCTCGTTCCTCATGGCTAGCTCAACCTGCTTTCTTTTGTAACTCAGGCTACCTGCCTGGTGCTGGCACCATAATGGGATGGGCCACTAATCAAGAAAATGCCCCCCCACACACCCCAAAAGAAAGAAGATGTCACATCAGCTTGGCTACAGGCCAGTCTTATGAAAGAATTTTCTTAATCATAGTGCCTTCTTCTCAGATACTAGCTTGTGTCAAGTTGACAAAAACAACCAACCAGGACAGGGTCTCACGTAGCTCAAGCTGGCCTCAAACTTACTACATAGCTAAGATTGGCTGGCTTGAACTTTCAGTCCTCCTTCCTCCATTTTCCTGAGGGATGGGGCTATAAACATGCCACCACACTGGCAATTTTGATGTCTTCCCTTTCTTTTTAAAAAATGAAATTAAGGGCCGGGCGGTGGTGGCGCACACCTTTAATCCCAGCACTCGGGAGGCAGAGGCAGGCGGATCTCTGTGAGTTCGAGGCCAGCCTGGTCTAGAAAAGCTAGTTCCAGGACAGGAACCAAAAGCTATGGAGAAACCCTGTCTCGAAAATTAAAAAAAAAAAATGAGATTAAGAGTTGTTTCTGAGGTACATGTCATAAAATTAGAGGCCAAGATAAAAACAGGTCAACAAGGCCAAAAGATTCTTTACTATATTAAATCACAAAGACTAAGGTAAATTTTTGTTTGTTTGCTTGCTTGCTTGTTTATGAGACAGGGTCTCACAAAGCAGCTTTGGCCTGCCTAGAACTCACTATGTAGACCAAACTGCACTCAAATCCTGAGATCTGTTGATTCTGTCTCCAGAGTTCTGGAATTAAAGGCCTGTGTCACCATGCCCAACTGAGATGTGTGTTTTGAATGTAATCTGTTTGTCAGTTCCTCAGAAATAGTACAGATTTACAGCTGGGAAAGAAACTAAGCTAAGCTTAAAGGTCATATACTGGGGCTGGAAGCACAGCTCATCACTATTTTAACATTCGTATATGAAATATCTCTATATTTAAAATTTTTGTAAGCAATAGTTTTGTTATTTTAAAAACCTGTTTACTTGTTTCTTTTTGAACTGTGTCTCTTTTATCTTTGTTTTCCCTCCTTGCTGTGTAGCCCAGGTAGGCTTGCAACTCAAAAATATCCTCTTGAATGCTGAGATTACCGTGCCAGGCAATTTCAACTGCAAATTGTGCGTTGGGTAAGAGTTTGGCTTTCTGCTAATGAACCCTCTACCCTTCAAAAAAAGCCTCCACCGCCCCCCGACTGTCCCCACCCCACCCCCCGCGGCCTCCTGTCCACCATAGCCTGGTAGGTCACACTTAAGGATGGCTGAGTCTGTTTTGCAATGACAGCTGGGCGGGCCTACCGGGTGCAGGCACCCCTCCTGAGCCCCGCCCCTCCTTCCTTCCTGGTCCCCCTTCTTCATCCTCCTTCACCTCCTCCCCCTAGTTCTCGCCAGTTCTCTCGCTCTCCCTCCTCCCGTTCCCCAGCCCGGCTCCTCCTTTCTCCTGCGACCCCGCCCCCCGGCCCCCCACCCCACGCCGGTCCTTCGCGGGGCGGTGGTGCGCAGGCGCGGAGCCGAGTCCCGCTGGGCCGCAGCCGGTGGCCGGCTCGCAGTGGGCCTGTACCTGGCCCTCCACACTCGGTTCCCCCTCGCTCTGCGGAGACTGGAGGACAGACCGGACCACGCAGAAGTGTGGCGGCAGGATGGCGCAGACCGCCATGTCCGAGACTTACGGTAAATTGCGCGGGTTCGCATGCATGTGTGTAGTAGGGCAGGCCTTGGGGTCCCGGAATGTTTGTGGCTGGGCTTACGTATCCAGAGCCGGTGTTTAGAATAGCGAGATGTTGGGGCTGGACTGGGATCCTGAGAACCTGGCGGTGTCAGAAGCCAGATGGCGATACTGAGAATCTTGAGATGTTTACGGCTGGGCTGGAATCCTCCTGGTAATCTTGGGGTGTCAGTAGCTGGGATTCTGAGAATCTAGGTCTCAGGGTCCGGGTAGAGAATCCAGGGATGTCAGCTGCTGGGATCCTGAGATTCTTGGGGTGTCAAGGTCTGGCTAGAACTTGAGAGCGCCTGAATGTTTGAAGCTGGGCTGGAATCATGAGGATCTAGGGGTGTCAGGAGCTGGGTTGGACTCTCTGGCCAGCTGGTGCCCCCAGCTGTGCAGAGCGTTGTGATCCTCTGTTCCAAGTTCCCTCTTGTTTTGACCCTGGTTTCACCCTACATTTTCCTCCTTGGATTATTTAAATAGCTCAAGGTTGGGGGAGCCAGTTTATCATTGATTGTCCCCCTCCCCCCTGCAGCACCCGAGCGCAGGGACTAGGACCCAGGGCCACGCCTGCATTCAATGTCTTTGGGGGCTTGGCTGTGGGTCTCTCGAGGTTTGGAATTCCTTTCTTTGCATTGAGATTATAATGAGTTTTAAATGGATGTGTGCAGCTCTTTTCTGGAGACCCCCTGGCCTTGTGTGCCTGTCCATCCCTCCCTCCACTCTGTTATGGGTTAATTATAGCTCTTTATAAACACATACCCTCTCTATGGCCCTGCGCCTTTCAGCTTTGTCTCTCCTTCCAGCACCTAGCCATTGCCAGTGCATGTACAGGGTGTCCCCGTGCTGGGTGTCCCCTCCCACCCCAATCGAGATAAGAATAAACAACCGATTCTATGCATGGTTGCCAGTCCCTAATGAGACTTGAGACTTGACTTGCTATGTGCTGGTTCCAGGGAGGGACTCTCATGTTAAAGCATGGTGAACAAGTCCAGGTTATTTCAATGTGCCCCTGCTTCCTTCCCGCCCCCAGGGTGGGGCCAGGGGCCAGCCAGGAAGGTTCTAATCATTGTAAAAGTGCCATAGACACTTCCCCAAGAGTTTGCAGTCTAGTGAGGAATAGATTGCTAATTCGGTTGTGACCTTAATAGATGAACAATTAAAATCCAGACAGCAGTTGCAAAGGAGCGTGGTCTGGCCAACTGTGTAAGAAAGAGCTAACCATTGGGTCAGAGAGGGGCAAGTGAACAAGCAGATCTGGGGTTCAGGTCTCAGAGCATGGTTTGGGCACTTGAGGAGGGTGAGGAGGCAGTTGAAGAACCTTGAGGTTTGGACTTTGAGAGGGTGGGACCCTGGAAAGGGTATTGTGAGGCACACAGCAGCCTGGTTCACTGTCTCCTGGCACCAGCACTCCTGTGGTATGGAGGCATAATGTCTGACCCTATAAATGTAAGCACTAACCACGGGTTATTGGCTTTGTCAGGGCCACAGGTGTGTTTATCTTTTCTTTCATTTTAAGGTATTTTCCAAATAATGCCTTTATTTTTAATTTTTGTTTTGTTTTTTTGTTTCAAGACAGTTTCTGTCTTTATAGTTCTGAATGACTAAGAATGCCTCACACTTGTGGCAATCTCCCTGCCTCTGCCTCTTGAGTGTTAGGATTATAGGCATGTGTCCCCAGGTCCAGGTTTTTACTTTTTAACTAAGTCTGAATTTAATCTTTCCTTTCAACGGAGAACAATAAACAAAAAATGAATAGAAACTCCTAAGGGGAAGTTTATCTTTAGAAAGGCAAGAATGGCCTCTAAAGCTGCTGGCGTAAAAGAATAGTCACCCCAAACCAAGGCAGAGGCTGTCACCTTCGCTCATTCTTGGCGGTGTTTACACAGTATTGTTCCCCAAATTAAAACAACCAAGACCTCTCCTTCCCGACGTTTGCCTGTTGGCTGGCATAGGAATGTTTGCCTAACCTTTTAGTTCCGTGTGTTTGGGGCTGGTTTTCTGTCTTCTGTGAAATGAGGTTCTGTGCAGCTTGGTGGAAATTCGATGAAAAATAGGAGCCGGTTCTTATGGCTCCTGCTAATGGGCTGGCCACTCGCGGCCTGGAGAACAGCCCCGTGCCTTGCACTGGCTGTGTGGTGTCCAGCACTTCCTTGAAGTTCCTCACTCTGTGAACACGGTGCTTTCGGTCACATCATATCGTATGTAAACTGGGATATAAACAGGTAGGCCTCTCATTGAAATGTGGTTCACCTATCCACTTGATTAGACAGAGACACTGGGACATCAGCGAAGCACAGCTCTGGATGTGCCTGAGGAGGGTTTCTAGGCATGATTAGATCCCGAGGGCTCCAAACTAATCTGATGTTATTATTGACAAGTGATCAAAGGTTGGAGGTGGGACACGATTGGAGAAAACTGGGGGAATGTCCTTGGAGCGCCCTCTTACCCCGCCTCTTCTTATAGTCCCGCCTCTCTGCTTCCTGGCCTCTGTTGATGTGACCTGTCCATCACATATCCCCAGCTGCGATGGGCTGACCCCTGGGAAACCGAGCCAAACCAATCCTTCCTCCCTTCATTCTCTCAAGCATTTTAGTCCCAGCTAAGACTAAACCCTCAACCGGAGTGTCTCTAACCTGAAGGGAGGTTCTCCTACTTATTGTTAGAGACACAGCAGCGTGTGTGTGGTGGGAAAATGCCAGGGAGCTTTTAACCCTTCAGTGCTAGAGAACTGGTGTGGAGGAAGAGTTTGAGACAGGTGTCTACACCCTGCAGTTATACCATGTACTATGCAAAAACTCCGGAGACAGAAGAACAGAAGAATCCTGCTCATGGACACAAACATTCACAAGGAGAATGGGCTGTGGAGGTGCACCTCAGGTTGAAGAGGACCAGGACCTAGCCAATGTACCCCCAGCATAGCTCGCAACCACCTGAAACTAGGAAGAGGCAGGAAGCACCCCTCCCTGAGCCTCAGGAGCTCAACGCTGCCACATCTCTGCAGCCTCTGGCTCTGACAGCAAATATCCGTCACATTAAGCCAGTGGACTTGGGACACCTTGAGGTGCACAGCCTCGGAAGCTAACTCACAGGACGAAGTTGTTATACGATGAGTCTTAAAGAAATATAGACTTGATAAGGCAGTTTGGATTGACAATTAGGATATCCCTAATTAAAAAAAAAGCAATCTTTTCAAAGCCCTCTCATTCATAAAGTAAAATTAATTTCCTGCTAGGAGAATCACCTGAATTAATATTACCTTAGTTCACAATTTGACAAAATGTTTAAGCAGTTCAAGCAGACATCAGAAAACGGAACATTTCTTTAATTCAGTACATTTTTGATTGCCAAAGTCATGGTTTTCTTTTTCTCACTCACTGAAAACTAACCAATGAGCATTTCAAGAAGCCAGGTCTAGGGCTGGGGTGGGAGGGGGGCATGTCCACGACCCCACCACTTAGGTGTGGAGGCAGGAGGATTAGAAGTTGAAGGTCATCCTTTGCTATGCTATATAGGGAGTTGGAGACCAACCCATGCTACATGCAATCCTGTATCAAAAGAAAGGAGAGAGGAGAGGAGAGACAGGCAGGCTAGCAAGGTGCCTGGAGTGCGGGGTTAATGCATACGCTTTGCAGTCGGACTGAGCTCAGGCCTCAGAACCCACGTGAAAGTGAGAGAGCTGATTCTACAAAGTTGTCCTCTGACCTCCACACACACACACACCTGTCCTCTGACCTCCACACACACACCTGTCCTCTGACCTCCACACACACACATCTGTCCTCTGACCTCCACACACACACACCTGTCCTCTGACCTCCACACACACACCTGTCCTCTGACCTCCACACACACACACACACACACCTGTCCTCTGACCTCCACACACACACACACACACACACACACACCTGTCCTCTGACCTCCACACACACACACCTGTCCTCTGACCTCCACACACACACACCTGTCCTCTGACCTCCACACACACACCCATTGCACACCTGTGCACTCACACATTTTACACACACATACACACACTGTAATAATAATAATTTATGGAAGAAGGAAATAAAGAGAAAGAGGGAAGGGACCAAGTCTCGAGACAAGCACTGGTGCTTCGAGAGCCCACGAATCCTGAGCCTCTGTGGTTCACCTACAAAAGAGTTAGTCCAAGGGTCTGGAGAGTCTCCCCTGAAGCTCCAGAGAGAGAGGTGCTGTTGCTCAGGAACAGTCTTTGGATGCTCTATCAGGGATGTCCAACCTTTGACATTACAAGATGTTGTAGTCTATGTTGGGCAGCATTCATAGCTATCCTGGGATGCTTCTGCAGGCTTCTCAGGACCCACAGTCCCTGGATGTGCATGAGAGAAGGAACCTTGAGAAAATTATGGTGGAATGCAGTATCGTTAGAAAACCATGGTGATTGAGTAAATTAAATTCCCCAAACTTTGCAAATTCTCCAAAAAGCGATATTGGGTAAATCTGTTTGGAATTTTTTTCTTGCTATGTTAGTGGTCTTTCTGTTAGAGACCATGTCAGTTTCTTTTTTTTTTTTTTAAGAATTCACGTATATGCCAGGCAGTAGTGACACACACCTTTAAGCCCAGCACTCATCAGGCAGAGGCAGGAGGATCTCTGGGGGTGTATGTGTGTGTATGTGTGTGTGTGTGTGTGTAAATATGCCACATGTATGGGTGCCCACAGAGACCAAAAGAGGACATCTGAGTTCCTGTTCCTGGATCTGGAGTTACAGGTGACTGAGCTGGGTGTTAGGATTGGACTCTGGTTCTCTGGAAGGGCAGGAAGTGTTCTTAACGTTTGAGCCATCTCTCTAACCCTGAACATTTCTTTGAAATGAGAAAAGGTTCATGTTGTTTCTGGAATTTCTTCTCTCAAGCCCTCCTAGGGGGTGTGGTCAAACCGAGCTGGTTTGTTTTTATCCTTCTTAGTAATTCTAGTAGAACATGGCCCAGTTAAAGTGTTGGAAGCCTCTGCCGGCCTGTATCCTGGCCTGCGCCATCCCCCTGTTGCTGTGAGGGAATTTCTGAGATAGGGCAATTGTGTGTGTTTAGTAGTTTGTTAGAGATTTTCTTTTATGTGTACGAGTGCTGGCCTCCATGTATGTAAACATATCGTGTGTGCC